AAAGTGAGGACGAAATCCTCCGCGACGCGTGGTTCGGAAAAGGAAGGCTATATCAGCTTGCATGTGCAGATGAGTAAGCTACATCTCTTTCTCAAGGCTTCAACTGAGGACCGGCGGGAAGTTTTCCAACAGCCACGCCATTCGCGTCATTCCCTGCTGGCCAGTCCGACACCGTGACAACCTCGTTCTCAAAGCTATCATTCGACGTCCTCAATTACCTCTGCGTCACGTACCTCAGCATCAGAGACGCCGCGTCTCTCCTCACCCTAAACCGTTCCCTGCGCGCCGCTCTTCTTCCCTTCATCGACACCTTCGCACAAAAGGCTATCGCGCGGCGTCATCCGTATTGGCTGCCCATCGTCGCCCCGTGTCTTAGAGGCGACGAAGAGCAGCTCCGGTGGGAGGAGATGTGGGCTGCCAGTGAGGGTGTGGTCCCGTGGGCGCTGTACGCGAGGGAATGCGCAAAGAGCCCGGGTATGAGGAACCGGGAGCGGATTTGGGGCATGGCGGAGAGGTTTAGGGATTTGGTGAAGGAGCAGGGGTGGATAGATGGGAGAACGTCGGTTTAGGTTGTACGCGGGCGTCGCGATCTTCTTTGCACGAAGTTGGATATTTTTTTGCCTCAACGTTAGTCTTCGGTTCGGTTTATTTTACAGTTACTAGAGTTAGAGGTTGTGGACTATCGTCTGTCCCCTTTCCAAGTAAGTAGAAACAGATGATTCATAACAAATCATTTTCGCATCTCCACTCACGATTTCAAGTTGCTACTTGAATTGCCACCAATACCCAATCATACATTTGATACACAGAGAATAAACCACTTAATAGTCATCATAATCCCAATCCATATTGTTCTCCCACAAAATACACTTGTACGCATGCTGCCAAGGACGCTCCAAGTTTTAGCATGCTAACCAACGTGGTCACGAAAAGAACGCACCTTCAACTCATCTTCAATGTATTTTCCCCGTTCTTCAACAAACGCATCGTAGCGGCGTGCGAGACGGTGCTTCGGGTACTACCAAAAAACACTTCCTCACACTCCTCACTAAGCTCGCGCATCATAGCGGGGATGTGTGGGATCCAGTGATAGTTGCTGTGAATCTCCAAGGTTTCTATTCCATCATCGTCGTATGTGGATGGATATACTGTCACGAGAAGTTTCCGTGGCTGTCTTCATGATGATAAGTATTGGTGTTGCGTACAATTTAAAGCATGCTCACCAGAAAGCATGACGAGCGGAGTACCTCCTCGGATGCGAAGGGAATCTTTTTGAGGACAATGTGAGGTCGGGCGCTGACGAGACTGTGCCACAAGTCAAGTCAATGCGGAAGGAAGATACATCATCATCTGGAGAACAACGAACTTTGCCGCTATACACTTTGCACACACACGTTTGCGCAGTGAGAAGAAGCGCGTGAGCTTCTTCTTTGGGCCCGGACCACAGTACTATGTATAGTTCTAAGAATCTCATTTTGACCAGGAGTCGAAACGAAACGAACCTGGCAGTTTTTTCCGTACAGAAAGCGGGCCCACTGGAGCTCAGTCACATCTGAGGGTGGCGGGGGAACACTGATGGTCTCATTGGAGCGGGCGTGCTTCCACATCTTGAGCGAGGCAGAGAGCTGTCCGAGAGGATATCATAAAAGACGCGAAAGAGGAACATGAGCGACATCAGCGATTCCGGTGGGAGATAAGATGTTATCTTTCGCCAGAAAAAACGTGAATTTCAGAGGCGGCGGTCGTAAAGCAGAGCATTACTTACTTCCAGTATTAGTTCAGCGGGGAGATGTTGCAGAGCACCACCTCCAGAAGCTGCCTTTTTCCTGCCCTTGCCTTTTACTACTACACGAGTCTCTGAGGGAACTTTGTTCTTTGTGCGTTTCGATGGCTTTGGAACTTCGTAGTCGGATCCATCGTCCAAGTCATACGAGAGGGTCCTCTTCCGAGTCATAGTAGGATTCGTTCGGGAGAGGAGCGGTACAGAGCCAAGGAGGTGTGGTCGAGTGTCTCAGTCGGCGATCATGTTGACTACCGCGTGATAGTTTCTGCCTTAGGTTGTCTTCGACGCGTCGAAGCGTTTGAGCATTCATGAGGCGTATTTGGAACGCTCAGTGTTCTCGCCCGCCAGGTCGGACTAACCGTAGATAGGGATACAAATATTCGTACCAGTCGAACCGATCTTGTAGAACTGGCAAGTTAGGTCAGAATGAGTCGTGATGGACAGACAACAGGAAAGAGAAAGCCTAGAGTGACTGTCAATTTACTGGTTCAGCAGGAACAGAGTGGGTACTAGTTTATGCATATGGGAACGAGCAAGAGAGATGTCACGGGGAGCCTCGTTGCCTATGATCTGTGGTCGTTGAGGCTTTTGGTCCAAGGAAAGAGGAAACAGAAAACACTGCGTATTGAACAGGAAATTACAGAGTCTATGATGGTAAATGGCGCACCGGAAAGCTGCTATGAGGTACATAAGAACGGTCTTTAACGTTTAGTGGACTTGAAGACTGAAGCAGAACTGAGAAGACGCGACTTGGATGCTGATCGGCGGCAAACCCGGACCCGCGTAGTAGCTTCTGACCATGACTCGGTACCTTCTTTCTCATGGTCGTCAATCCTTCGCTATGTCCGTGTGCGACGTTGTACGCTCCATGCATCGACGTTTCTCTATGTAGCAACGGGACTCATGTTGCCTCTCTACCGCTGAAAGACACGTTTACCTCGACGGTCAATGCGTACCCATCTCACATGACCAGACACACAATGGACAGCATAAATTCGGTGTGGACGCTCTGAAAATGGTACACCTACCACCATCATGTCTTTTTTACACCACTATAGTGAGTTCAATTCGACCCATCACGTTGTTTCACACTCAGGCTATGCGTTTGCAGACGACCCTACGCTTTCGTCGGACGATGTACGTTCCCTGGTTGTCTCGATTGGATTTTCCCAACTAACAAATAAACAGGATAGCGAATATACTGTGGCCTACACCCCAACCGAAGAGTTTCCCCGCGTCTCAATCCACTCCGGAGACGAAGACGAAGACGAATATTTCGACAGGGCGCGGATGATGGCGGCCTTGCAGGAAGCGATGGGGATCCCCGCGTCTGCGGTCAAGCACGAGTCGCGCCGTATCGACTTGCCTAATGGCGCCTACCGCATTGTGACAGCGCACTCTTTCCAGCGTCCTCCCGAGGTCGATTCTCCACTCGAACAAGCATCCCTCTCTATCCTCCAGCTGGACAAGGAGCGTGCGCGCGCCATCGTTAATGACCGCGAAATCGAGCGCTCCATTCAGGGCGCGCGCATCGACGAACTGCGGGCATCCAACCTCGACGTGGAACACGATATATCTGATGTTCGAACCGAGATGCAGCTCCTAGCGCGCGCCAAAGTCATGGAGACACGCGATCTAGTTGCACGGCTTGATCAAGTGGATGATCATCTGCGCGTTTTGTGGGGGCTGTTCTACAACGTATTTGTAGCCATTGCGGAGGATCGCGACAGGGCGAGCGAGCAGCGCGTGTACGTTCTTGAAGGGGAACGACTTCTTGAAGAGCTGTCGGTGAGGACGAACAAGGCTCGGCGGGACTACGACGCTGCCAAATGGTGGAAGGACGAGGAGGAGAAGCATGTAAGGATTCATGCTGAGAGTATGGGCGTTCTGTTAGGACGCATCCAAGCGTCAGAACAGAATATCCTGATGTTTCAGGAGAAGCTGAGAGTGGCGCGTGTAGGGCAAAAGGTCAATGGACGTACAAGGGAGCTGTCGGAGAAGAGAGAGCGGGATATCAGGGAGAGGGAGACAAAGGCGGAGCTGGCCCTGCGCACTAATTCTATGCCTGTGAGCACTCTCAACGTCAAAGCCCACGCGTTGAAGGAGCAGGTCGGGGAGATGAACAAGTCCACGCAGGGCTTGAAGGATGAGATTGCTGCCCTTCGCGTCCAACTTGGGCCGCGGTTGGGGTTGGAGAAGCGTCAGCAGGAACTCACGGCAACGCTGGCGACGGCGCGACTCGAGGTGCCCAAGCTGAAAGAGCAGTACGCCAAGCTCAAAGAGGATCTCGAGGACAAGCTGGAGGATCTGGAAGAGTCGGGTGACTTGTTCCGGCATAATCAGGCCGAGTATAAACGCGCTTTGGTTGACTTGTCTGATCTAGAGGCGGAATGTCAGAGTGTGCAGATGAGGAATGCGGAGATTAGGGCGGGGAAGGCGAGTACGAGTCAGGTGGAGAAGAGAAATTTGGTATTGGAGGAGGATACTCAGAGGGCGGTGGAGGAGCTTGGGAAGGCGAGGGAGGAAGAGGAGAGGGTACGGGGCGCGGTGATTAAAGAAGGCAGGGAGGCGAAGAACAGGATTGTGGCGTTGAGGAAGGAGCTGGCGGGGTTAAAAGGACGGGTGGAACATGCCAGGCGCAAGGTGAATGTGTGGGAGGCGAGGGGTGAGGTGAAGCAGGATGTGTAGGGTTTTTGTATCTATACTGTTAGTGTGGTGGTGGTGTACCAAGATTTATTTATCAAGTATTTGTGAACGGGATGTCAGTGGTGTAGCAAGAAGTGAGACTAAAATGTGACGACCGCAACTGCAACCACATCGCGGGTTCACAGCGGTATTGAATTCATATTGAAATTGTCGAGAGCAGCGGGATTGAAGGGCATGTCACTGCGCCACATTGCATCATTTTGCAGATTAAGGCATCGCGGGTTTAGGATGGTAAAGTAAGGCGATGGTGTGGCACGGTGCTGCGCCACATCACATGGCGTGGTATCAAAACCGTTGCAGAACGTGAGCCTCGAGTTCTGGGGGGGGTTAAGTTGCGACCGAGTTGCGACGGGGATAATTCTGGATAATTACAGCACCACCTCAGGGTCCAGAGTTTAGATAAGATAGGGTTATAGGTTCTGATACGCCTCTCGGTAAATAACGGTATCGATACGTCGAAGGCTGGCGGGTAGATCTACTCGCTGAGCAAAAAGCGAATATTTTTTTGGTACTGCCCCAGAGAGGCTCGAACTCTCGACCTTCCGATGACCTTCTCCGCAGGAGATAACAGTCGGACGCTGTAACCAACTCAGCCATGGGGCAAGTGATAACGACCTGGCTGCTCAGGTGTCGATCTAAAAGTTGGCGGACGAATCGAGTGATGAGATCATAACGCGATGATTCATCGGTTGACGGAAAGCCAAGCGGGTCGTTCATCTGTTGACTCTTGACGGTCATCGAAGGCTTTTGGATTTGCGTGTTATGAACGCTTACAGCACATCGCGCAGGATCTGATTAAGGTGCGAGGCTCGTGTTCCAGTGCCACAAATTCTCACACTTGCATAGATTCCTCCATCCCCAACGGGCACTGCACTAACACATCCTCGCTTCCATCTATGGCGAAAAGCAAGTCGTCCGCGACATCTGCCACGCGCAAGAAACACGCCGCCAAGAAAGCGCCCGATGAACCCTCGACGTCGAGCAACCCTCCCTCTGTTCCGCCCAAAGGCAAAACCAAAAAAGAACGCAAAGACGCTAAATCTGCTCCGCGCAAAAAGGTGTATATACCGCCGTCCAAACCAGCCCCTGCGCGCCCCGATCCGCTAGACACGCTTAACTTGGTATCACTCATCCCGCCGGAACTGGCGATCACGCTGCGTGCATTAGGCAAGAAGAGCTTGGTGACACGAATGCGCGGCGTCGAAGATCTGAAATCGTCGTGGCTCGCGCAGACGGAGCTGATGCGCACTGTCCTCCCAGTGTGGATGCATCACTTGCCGTCGCTCCTCACACATCCATCCCGCCGGCTACGCGTCCTCGCCGGCGACGTGCAGCGAGCTTTGGTGGCTATGCCAGAAGTGCGGGAGGATATGGGTGAGTATGAAGAAGACGAGCATATACTCGGCGCGTGGTGCATGGCGGCCCACGACGGCAATGTCGGCGCGAGGGAGGCGTGGAAAGCGTATGCGAAGCCGACTGAACGGCTCGCAGAGTATTTGATGAGGGCGATTGAAGATCCGCTGGGTGTGTATGCGGCAATACATGTAGCAGGGGAGGAGGACGAGGAAGAGACAGAAGAGGATAGAAAAGCGAGGCTGAGGGTCGGTGCGTTGGGCGGGGTGGTGTGGTGTGTCGCGCATGTGCCTATGTCGATAACCGAGGCATTATGGGAGTGTTTGACGAGTGAAGGGCAGCCGGGTGTGCGCAAAGCGACGTGGGCCCTGGTTGGTGTGTTATTGGACAAGGACAAGGACGTGGAAGATGCCCCCGTGCTAGACGCGGCGTGGCAAGAGTTTGACGTCGGTGTGCAGAGCGTGATGTGGGGACCCGTGTTGAGGTATCTGAAGCGATGGCCGGGGGAGGAAGGCCATGTCGACGATTTTCTCTCATTTCTTTCACACGGACTCAACACACAGGGTTACGCTGCTGTCGTTGTTGTGCTCAGCACACTACAGTTATCTCAAGACGAGGTGCGCGATAATCTGTATCATATCCATTGCTGACGTTTCTACAGACATTACGCTTATTTACATCCCTATGGGCACCGATTTACAATCGTACACTACCTGGACGCGAGCACAAGGCCCTGCTGGAATGCGTTTTCGAATGCCTAAATTTGTTGAGCAAGCGACATGCTCATTCGGTACCGGACCAAGTGGAGACTACCTTTGCACTACTGAAGAGCGGTCAACTCAAGGTCGATGCGGGTACTTTAGGGCGTATTGTTCCACCGACCGAGCAAGTAAGGAACGCGGTTTTGGACGCACGGCCTGTGGACATCCCGGCATTAGTCAAGGTGCTGGATCTCAATCTAAAGGAGAATGTGATGCACAGAGCCGTTTCGCAGTCGGAAGATGGCCTGATCGTTGGTATGCTCAGCACGTTTGGTCGCGACACAGTGACACCCGAGCTGGCCGAACGCGTCGTGAGCTCTTCTTACGACGTGATTAAGGCTTATCTACGCGTCGTGGACAACGACGAGCAGCAACGAGTATGGGACGCACTGCAGTTGGATACGAAGAGACTTGTGGATCTGGCAGAAGACGTTCCTCTTTCGTTAGGAGGAGCAAAGTTGGACAATGTTAATTTCGATGGCGAAGACGCGGAGACGGTGAAGCGTATTCTGCGTACGTCACCGGGACTGTTCCTTTCTGACGAGGGATACTCGACTATTCTCTCCACTATCACCGACCTCGACCTCATCGACGCTATACCCACTGAGCGTCTTACACCACGTCTCGTTTCCCTTCTCTTCTTTGTAGGACAGCCGAGGTCTGGTGCCGTGTTACCGGTAGACGAGGTGACGGATACATTAAAGGCAATGCTTCTCGAGGGCGAAGAGGTATTCGACCTTGCAGAGGAGGCAGGCATTGATCCTTGGTCACTCGTACCTCGTCCACCCACCGGAGAGCACGCAATAGCGTTCCTCACATCGGTCTGTATCCAACGTAGACGAGAGGCATGCGATCCGGAGAGGATGTGGGCCGTGCGCGCGCTGCTTACAGAGGAAGGAGAACGGGCGAGGAGTATCGTCAGTTACGTTCTTCGCGAGGTCAATTCTCCCGAGGCGAGGAAGAGGGCGCTGGATTATGTCTCTTCTTCTGGTTTGGAGTGGCTTCTCAACGACGTGATTCAGCACGGCACCCCCGAAGAACTGTCCCGACTTTTAGGACTCGTCTTTTCTGAGCTTGAACCAGAAGAGGCGGATGGATGGGTCGGTTTGGCGCGCAAAATTGGCGATCGTGGGGACGAGGTGATAAAGGCGCTATGTAACGCAGAAGCGGAGGGCAAGGCAATGGAGCGGTGGCGCGCAGAGTGGACTGGTGCCATCCTCAACGGCGGTGGTGTGCGCGCGATGAGAAAGCTGGCGGCGAGTATACCGAGGGCAGAGAGCGACATTGTGTTTGTCCAGCCGGTGCAGAGGGCGGTCAATCTGGTGCGCGCGATGGAACAGTATGTCTCGGAGGAGGATGAGGACCCCGTCATTGCGACGCTTCTCCTCCCGCTCTTGCCGATTCTGCAAAACGTTCCCGGCTCACATTGGGAGTTCATCTATGACGTGATTGCGAGCTCTGTTGATCTCAAGATGGTCCTGGCCATGGACGAGTTGGCTATGTCAAACAGGACATTGAGGGAAGAGTGGTCAGGCAGGAGAAAGGAGGTGATCCGAGACGTACTGGAGTATGTCGTCGAGGGTGGCGACGACCCCGATGCTCTGAAGATTCTAGCAGAGGAAGAGGTTGACTGGAATGTCCTTCCTAAGCTCTGCCATTTATTCTCCTCGGAAGCGTACCCGTTGTTGAACAAGGCGGCGCGTGCATGGACCGAGCACTGGGTCGTGGAGGTGGCTATTGGGAGTGAGGAAGCGCGTATCCCGCAAGAGTTGCTGGATGTGTTAGATGTAGATGAGGATCTATTCGCGTGGATGATACTTTTCGATCTGTTTGAAGGCACGTCGCTGAAGCTCAAGTCGCTTTACGTTGAGCAGGTGCGGGATCTGGCTGCTGTGTTTATGGCAAACGTGGTGGATACAACATTTCCCTTGGACGGATGGGCAGTGGATGAGTTTTACGTCTCATGTGAGTTCACTCCTTCATTTAACATGAAGACAACCCTAATTTGTTCAGTATACGAGCCGGACCCCTTGTCTGAACAGATCCTCCGAGCGCATCTCTTCCATCGCGCATTGCTGACCGTTCCGAGTCTGCTGGTCGTGGACAAGGCCATTGCAGCCTATACCGCCAAGTGGTTCAGCAAAGGACTTATCTCCGCAGAGCTCACTGCGATCCGGAGTGACACCGCTCTGCAAGACGAGCAATTCAAGGTGCGCATCGTGCGGGACGACACCGAAGTCGTGGCAGCGTACCTCGTCGATGAACACTCGCTCGAGCTGCGCCTGCGCCTTCCCGCAGACTGGCCCCTTGCGCGCCTGGCAGTTACTGGGCCGAAACGCGTGGGCGTGGACGAGGAGCGGTGGCGGCGATGGGTGCTTGGCGTGCAGCACGGGTCTGGGCGGCTCGTTGAGCGGCTGGGGGTCTTTAAGCGCAATGTCGAAGGACACTTTGAGGGGCAGGTCGAGTGCGCGATATGCTATAGTATTATCAGCGTCATGGATGGAACGTTGCCTGCACGACCGTGCAGGACGTGTAAGAACCGGTTTCATGGGGGTTGTTTGTACAAGTGGTTTAGTACGAGTCATTCGAGCTCGTGTCCGCTGTGTAGGAGTGATATGGTGTAGAATATGATCTGGATATTGGGCAGAGGTTGAGATAAGCGCTTCAACGATTCGAACAATGCGATTCGTCACCGGTGTTGTTTACATGTTGAGTTGATTGATTTGGCGTGGAGGCGTGGATTAGCGGTCCGCGTCCTTGTGCTGTTAGAGGCTGGGTTTTTCTCACAAGTTCCGGCGCGTGTGCACAGCATGTCCTTCAGTTTCGCGACTGTGCGGGATATTCTTGAGAGGATACAGAATGACTTTTGCGAGGAGGCGTGGTCTAGCGGTTTCGCCTGATTACTTCGAATCCAGCCCGAAGGCAGTTCTTTTTGACAGTCCTGTTGCTTGGGACGTTAGTACGTGAAAACTATATTTTGAATCTCAACTTGAAGTCGGCACAAGCCAAACTTATTTATCTCTCCCCTCCTTAATGGAAACAAAACCAAATCAGTATATTACATGAAGCACGCAATCCACTCAACGGAGGTGTAGAGGATTTACTTGGCCCATGGCCCATGCCTGGCACACTCGCCGGACCATTACCCACTCAGACCATCTTACTTCCTTTTTAGTCTACTTACTTGTTATTCTTCTCATAGCTTTGACCATCCTCTTATTGTATACAAAGGAATGATATAAGAGATCTCCCCGCTCGTCGTCCGATTGTACAGCCAACCGGTACCTAGTACCTACAGAGGTTTCGGCGTTCGGGCTTCCTGGACCTGAACCGAGGAAAAACAATGCATTTCTTTCACAAGTTCGGCCGCGCGCTTCCTGGGCAAAACAACATGCATCTCCAAGTACTGTACTAACGCGACCGTAAGTTCACGGCATGTTACGTGTTACGGTTGTGAACTAACTCACCACTAGTTCATTCAGGGTCTATACTCCATATCGGGAGTGGCGGGAGGCGGCGGCGGCAGCCGCCGCGACGAAAATTTCCGCATTTGGGTTGATCCCGACGAAATTTGGAGTCGTTACGTGTTATGCACACCAAATAAGTTCAGTTCACGGGGCCCTGTGACGCGTTATGTGAACTAACGGTCGCGTTAGTACAGTAGGGAGGATGCGTGCTTTCCAGATTGTAAGTGACAGACTAGGGCCCGAAATGTGGATATTGATGAGACGAGAAAACGTACCGTCACACTCCACATTCGCCCACGCTGAAATGGAGAAGGTGGATGTAGCTAAGGACGTGGACGTTTTGCCGCCTTTTAGGACAAGAATCAAGATTGTCAGTCAATCCGAGTCAGGGTACTAAATAAATACGCCCACTGAGGAGACAAGGTTCACAGTGCCAGTCTTCAAGGCGGGTCAGATTTGAGATTTCGGTGGCTGATTCATCTAGAGAAAGTCACTGTTCGTATTGTCCCACGTGCCTTGTGATGTTGTTCTGACCGCGAGGGTAAATGGATAGATTGTAGTATGATACGAACAGATAACAGTTTGTCATCCACTCGACTTGACTCGGGCAGGCTTGAATCCAAACATAGGAACAACTTTCAACCTGATGCGCTTCAACTTGGAAGCGAGTTTCGAGAGCACTGGTCACCGAGTTAATATGATCAAGGTTTGCGCTCTCAAGATACGAGAAGGCTCACGCGTAGAATTCATTGGACGCGCGGCGCCTTTCTCACCAGAAGCAGCCCGCCGACGAGCTTTGCAATCATCAACAATCCTGATTGGGATTGGATTGGCATCCAGGAGATATACTAAACATAGAGCTCACCTCTTCAAAGCAGTATGCTCGTCCCACAGTTCTGCGGGATCTGAAAGGACTTTGATGACGCCAAGATCAGAATTGACCTTGATAGCGGGTGTGAAGATCTTGTTCCACGTTCTCGACAGCATCAATATCGTCACTGAGCGATGGTGCATAATCGCCGACACTCTGTATCGAATCTGAGTCTGAGTTGACCACAGCACCGCACTCCGCGTCCATCACGTTTATACGCTTAACGTCGTCGCTGATGTAACGTGATATGGCCGACTCAGTGGCGAATGAAAAGTGTGGCGTATTGGAGTAGTCGTAGTTTTGTGGCGCGACCAAAGCATCAAAGTCATCCACAGTGGGTTGATAGCAATTTGGCCATGGCAAGGGAAGTGATATGGAGAGAGGCGTGCGGCCAAGAGGGTGCTCAGTCGTAGGCAGAATCGGAACGCACATATCGGCCGTTGCGTGCTTGAATTTGTCTGTAAGATTGGGACGTGGTTTCGTCAGGCCAATCTGGATGGGCCGTAACCACATTCTGTTGAATGCAGCTTCAGGATCAGGTAACCCCCCATTCCACTGCTCTAAAGGTAAGGCACGGGCTTAACGACGTACCCGAACACAGTAACCAGCATATTGTTTGCAGGCCAGATCCTGAGCGAGCGCTTTGGCTATAGCATCTCCACCCTGGCAGTAGTATTGCAGTGTCGCGGCGGGATCGATGGAAAACGCGATAAAGCTCCCTTCCCAAGGAATATGGGCAATGTCTCGTTCGTCGTCGTCGTCGTCATTTATCAAGGGCATGGAGGGGGACATATTGTTGAAGAGTTACGAGTCTGTGTACGTTGATAAGGTCAGAAGTCACAATTCCCGGCATTGTTCCTATAACAGACAATAGACAATAGCATTGCCAGAGAACAAGGATGGCTGGCTAACACAAAAGGAACTAGAGCCATCGGGCCGACATTCCGATCTGTTTATAACTTGCCGGACGCTTCCACACAATAAACCCAAACGCTCTGGCTATCCGTTTTTGTTACTAATGGAGCACAAATCAAGAATGGCTGAGACTATGACTCTACCTCCAGAATACACCAACCACTTCACCTCACGCACCGTACTTGTAACATCATGAAGGGTTCAATATGTGGTATCAACGCCTCCGTCTACGATCCGCTTCTGCAATGCCTCGACGAAATGGATGGCGCCAGGAAATCACGGACTATCTTGGCTTCCACGCGATCTGGCAGCTCGCTCTCCATCACCAAAACCAATAAACTTCGTCCTTGTCTCTGGTATTGGATGCAAATTCCAAGGCCAACTATACGACCGTCTGCTTGATGGAGACTTTCGGAGGTGCTGACTATGACAATCTGGCGGACGTCTTGTTCGCCCCGTCTAACATAGTCACACGTCCTATGGAGAGCTCTAGCACTATACCCGTCGCGCCCCGAGACCCGCAATGGATGATTTATTGGGAAAACGACATTGCGACGGCGCTCTCCCCGTGGTCTCGTAATGTTTCGCACTCTCTGAACGCGGTGGCAGTCAAAGAGCTTCAGATATACACAAGGAAATTTCGAAAAACCCTCTTCAAAGCCGCGTCGACTGATCGTGGCCTGGAGAAGCGCTTGCGCGGAGACCTTCCAGTAAGGACTTTGGACAGGTGGCCTGGTCGTGTTTGACTGACGTTTGTATTCTTCTGTAACACTGGAAAAGATCGCAAGTCAGTATCGCTTACCATTAGTATCACAGGGCGAAGGTTCCATCTACAGTCAGGCGCCGAACGGTAGCCAAGGCAGTCTACCATCCGCGTCGACGAGCAACTTGATGTCCATTCCCGAAGTCTTGAAAGGCGAGGAATGGGACACATCGACGCCCACACCCACAGGCAACGACATTCGCTGGGAAGTTAATGAAGAACCTCACGAGGGTGTCGCGTTCTTCACATTCTTCAAAACGTCACCTTTCATCGGTACGCCGTGGCCTTCCGCGTATCAATGAGGGACGGCTAATCTCAGCAGCAAAGAACAATATTGTGATTCAAGACGCGTCGATGACTAGAACGAAGGCCTCTAGAGTCTCGAGCTGTCGCTCCCAGAGTAGGGGAAAGAGCTGTTGTGCTCAAGGCCCTCCTGCGATCTGTGCGGTCTGAAATAAGCTTTATGCCAGTAAATCCCATATATTACGTATATTGGAGCCGTTGATAATGTCCACGACACGAAGACAATTTTTGTAAAGAACGTCTGTGAGCTTACTACGCACCTACTATCACTACGCCTCCAGCAATCCCAAGGCTAAAGCTAACCTGGGTTCTTCAGAGCGTTGAGTAAGTTGTAAATCTTTAGATTGATATCTAAGGGGTAGGTCAAACGATCACTTGCCCCATGGCTGAGTTGGTTACAGCGTCCGACTGTTATTTCAGCCAATCGGAAGGTCGAGAGTTCGAGCCTCTCTGGGGCAGTATCTCTGGATACATCAGGCTTTTGGCTATACCTTTTTGTGAAATCAGTCAGGTGTTACTAGTGGTCCTAGACCAGTAGGTGTTAATGACGGTACCGGGTAGGCTCAGGTTTTGAAACCGTCCGGCACGTGTTGTAGCCACGTGATGTGGCGCAGTCCCGTGCCGCCCTCATCCCGCCTTAGTAGGATCTCTGAGCGCTAGCGCGCTTACATGTGCAGTAGTGATATGCTGGTATTGAAGCCTACCCGCCAGCCCTCAACAGTCCCAATACCCTGTCAATACCATCATTTACATATGACAGTAAACCACAGGTGTATCAAAACCAAAACCTAGAGTTTACTTCACCACCCTAGAGTCCCCTGCATCTCGCTGGGATCGTTGGACAAAATAGACATGATGCCGTTGCCGCTTCAGTACCCAGTAAGCACGCGAGGCGGTAGACTACGTCGTCTCCTCCCGTAGTAAGTACTTCGGGTTTCAACTCCGGAGGCATGTTTTTACTATGCGACAGGCCGACATTATCTGATTGCTAGCGACAGATCATTTACAACAACATAGTATTATAAGTACATCTTCAGGTTGTGGTCGTCGAAATGTTACTCGCCAGGCCCTCTGACGCATTCATTCTTAAGATCAAGTATAGATTTAAACCAATGCACTTGGTCATGAGCAATGTACACCCGTGCAAGGTATACAGAGAATGCTTCATACTCATTCATTGACTCTATCCGTCAATACACTTTATCCACAAGCGCCTGTAGCCGCTTAAAATCTGGTGTACCCAAGCCCGTGACCTAAATACCCATACATCAGCCCCATCCTCATTCAAATATAAACCAACGACTTACAGGATCCCATCCAGCCATCGCCGAGAACCCTAAAACACACCGCCAAACCATTAGTTACCCATCGAACGTTCAGTAGGACAAAAAAACATACCATCAGTCCCACACCCCGGATTCGTGCCATTCGTAATATCATTGAACGCCCACGCATTCTTATAGATCAGCGGGTTCAAGAATCCCAGCGGGGCGCGGTTCGTCGAGAGGAGGTAATCGTTCACCAGGCTAATGACCCCAGCCGCCGTCTACATACCACATTCAGATTTAGCGACGCAGACAGAAGAGAATAATAGTAACACACAGGCGAACTCGCACTCGTCCCATCAATGCTCCCCACCGTCTCGTTCAGCACGATGAGAAAGTTCTCAGCCTGTGCTGCAATGTCCGGGAACCCGCGGCCCGAGGCACTGTGATGGGATTGTCAGTGTACGCACACACACGTCTATGTAGAGGAGAGACACACTTGTACAACCCCTTATACATATCGCCCAACGTCGACACATAATCTGCAGTAATTTGCGCTTGATACTCGGGCGCAGGAAAGTAATTCGAGAACCCGCCACCAGAGAAGCTCGCAGCGCGCTCGACGACGCCCGTGGTGCCTCCAACGGTAGTCACGTACGGACAGCTAACTATGAATTCGGTGCCAGAATAGTTGAAGATGCACACATACCTCGCCGGGAACATAGGCTGGAACACTATCTCATTCGACCCATCGTTCGCCAAACAATTCGTCGCATTGGTGCCACCGACGCTATGCTCACACATGAGCTCACCAAACCACTCACAAACCCATTGGACACTTACCCGAAATCACCACTCGCGAAAAGCACCGTACTTCCCCTCGCGCCCAGTTTCGCGAACTCGGTGCACACGCGGACAGCGTAATCGTATGGGACCTATACATAGCGCCGCCGTATGTACTACCGACAATCTAGAGAAAGCGTGCACGTACGGTCTGCTCATGATCCCCGTACGAAGTTGTAATCGTCTGCGGAATCTCGTCCTGCGCGAGAATAAACTCCAGCCAGTCGAGATACGGCTCGTTCGTATTAGTTGGTGACAAAGAGTCGGGTTTGTACTCGGAGGCAAGGCCACCGGTGCTGCAATAAGCCATGATATGAGATTTTGGCGAACGAGATTTGACTAGAATGTCGTACCTGTAATATACATTCTTCGTTGGGGCGCTGATCCCGATGGTGTATTGTATGTCGAGGTTGGCCTGAGTAGTTTCATGAGTGCTCTGTCAGATGAGACTCTAGGACGAACCTCGTCTCCAGGCTTGGACTGATCATTCACCCCGCCATGCACCAAGACCGTCTCGAACGACGACTGAGCCTCATCTGGTCGAAACACGCTCAAAAAGTCCTATGCAAGCCACTTAGAAAAGGCAAGACAAAAAAAGGTTTTTTGGCGCCTACCTCCAGATCCACGTAATTCGCCCACTCATCAACATACCCAACAACGCCCAACACATTATCAGCCGCAGCAGGAACATAGTCCTTCGCTACATGCATCACACGTCAACTCCAATCAACCACCACCGCTCATTAACTTACTTCTATATAAATCCCTCAAACACGAAACCGTCACGTTCGTCTCGCAGTTCAGCTTCCCAATATCCACAACACTCCCAAGCTCACCAACAGCTTCGAATTTCTCCTTTTTCATTGAGCGCACCGTACCAAAATGCGTCGTCGGGGCCATAACGTCGATGTGCGCATCGAGCTCCGCGGGGAGGGAGTAGCGCATCGTCCGGAGAACAGACGACGCCGACTCGGAGTGGTGAAACACGGCGTACGTCGTATCGAGCATAGACTCCGCCTGCGCCACAGTCACGCGCGCGACCATCCACGCTTCCCGGAGAGCCACGCTCTCTGAGGCGACACCGTGGTGCGCGAGCCACGCCTCCACAGCCGCGACAGAATCCGCATGCGGTGCCGCGAGTGCGTCGACTTGCGCTTTCGACAGGTGCTTGCCATACCTATGATGATGAAGATGAATGCTCGATCCCCGACGACGCACACTGGCACGCACCGCTGATGCCCCGGCTCGCTCACCTCGTACAGCGACGAGATCAGCTCATCAACCCGGCCTTGTCGTAGCCCAATGCGCAGCTCGATAACCTCTCCCGCGTTGGGTATAGAGTGGAACTCCCATCCGCGGGGAGGCGCGTCCCATGAGTGTCTTTTCCGAAGCGTCGTGTATCGCTCCGCGAGAGGACTGGCGCTGGCAAGGGCGACAGCGCAAAGAGCTAACAGCTGCGACCACAGCATTTCGACTAGGTTGGTATTTTCAAAAGATGGCGTGGAAGAGAACACGTTGAAATATAGTTCTTCGGGGTACAGCAATTCCCCCACTTCTCGCTTTTCTGAGTCTCAGAATGCCCGTTAATCATGATGCGTATATTTAGAATGGGCGCTGTCCCCGTTGTATCTCGGCAACCTACTACGTTGGGAGGCTTCCAAGACCGTACCGATGGACGCGCCAGAAAGGGTCCGCGCCACACTAACCAAAGAGGTCATCGTCACTTGAAGAAAGCTTCCAGGGAGTTCCGCGGGACAGTAGCCTTGATGAATATTTAGCATATCGAATGTTTACAGCAAGAGCGCGTTCGTTAATATCTGAAACGGCGGCGTTCCCGCTGGGGCCTTCCGAATACCCGCCCAGATTCAGCCGCATCGCCTGCCACATTCGTCTATCCTAGAGCTGAGAGTACGGCTGTGGGCGCACCCAAACCAGGGCCATCTAGAAAGCAAAATTCCTGTGAAAGTCATACACATGAAAACAGGATTAACATAGAGATTCTCAAAGACCGTACATACCTCAAACCCAAGTACAGGTCTACATTTATCCACACGCTCCATGCTATCAGTTGACCAAGATTGCTCTTCCGCTCCTTGACACAACACGACATATATATATATATCTCGTCCTCGCTGTAACAGCACTGAGCAGTACCTTTTCGGAGTCCGTCAATTCCGGAACAAGGCGATGTACTCTGTATGTATCGTAGCATACCGTTCAAATATAAGTGATGCCAAAGATAGGTCGGCTGTCATTGGAACGAGGCCATGACAGGAATCCCTAGCTGCATTTGAACGCGCTCAGTCGAGTTCGTGTCATGCGATCAGGTTATCAATAATCATAATGTGAATAAGACTTGTCCAATCTACACCTGAGCAACGGGTGATAAGAGGGTGCCAGTGGGGATAATGCCTAGTACGACGTTGTGTCTTGAGAATGAGTTTACGTCGGAAAGAGATAGGCAGTCGCGTACCATTCCAGTATCGCGTATTATGCTGCAGAAACGAATTGACGGCATGAAATTTCAAGCCTCCCGTCGCGTTATTGGTTCAAGTCCCATTGAGACACTTGAAGCGGTATTTAAGCCGCGAAAACGAGAGCAGCCAGAACATCGAAGACATTGCGGATTTGTTGAAACGATAGCCATCTTATCAGAAAAGCTGTGGCGTTTTGTTTGCCATTGTGATCGAGTCACAACTCATTAAGGCGCGTCTCTTGTACTCTTGCCATCATCATCCACGACAGCCTCCAGCAGTTCCAGCATCCAACAACGCCCAAACCACTTGTAAGTGCGCGTTAAATTATCTCATCGAACGCTGCTATATCTACGGAAAGGTCCATTAAACCATGTCTACTCGCCGAGGTCGCGATCCTACAGTCGTCGGAACAGGTAGCAGCAAGCGTCCAAAGACAGAGACATCTCGTCGCAAAATCACGGAGACGGAGGGCTCAAATACTACTTTACAGCCAGCAGCCGCGCGTGGCAAGAAATCCCGTTCACCATCCCTTGGACGGTCTCGCCCGGATCCTTTCATCGCTCCTACCCATCCCCCCAAGCGCAAAAAGTCCTCTATGCAGCTCACCGCTGGAGAGGCTGCAGCCCATGGAGAGGACCCGCCAGACCGCGGCCACAAAATGAGGTCCACGTCGACTACCCCATTACACTCTTCGACTCCTAAACATCGGCCAAAGAAGGAGAATACACACACGCTTTCCAAGGACAAGGACGCCGATATGCAGACGTCCGTTTATTCCAGCTCCTTAGCTATGGCGGAGTCGGAACGCCAGAAGACTCGCCTTAGGCTAGAAGTGGACGAGCTCAAGAAAGAATTACACAAGAGCAAAAAGGTT